CATAAACCATTACTTCTCTATTTTGATTGAGTTGATTTGCCACCGTCTGCACACGAGTGATGTAGTCTGATACGGACTCTGTCTCATTCATCTTCATTCTCTCCATTTCTCCTCGAAGAGTCTGCAAGCGAATTTGCTTGACTCTATCTGCTCCTTTGAAAGCCTTTTCTAGAGTGTCCCACGCTTCCTTCGACGTAGTCAAACCAACAATCTTTTTGAAAACTGATTCGTCGACTGCTCTGAACAGCATGTACAATGTTGTTTTATGCTTTGCTCGCATTTCTTTCAACGCCTTGTTCTGAGCAGCTATGCTTACCGTCGTATTTGATGGTTCTTCAAACTCATCATTAGTTACTTCCCATACATCTAACGATCCCAAAAGCGTCTTCATCTGGATACTCCAGTTCTCATAATTCGACTTTGATAGTCGTGGCAGTGGCATTTGACCCATCATATTTGCCATGCGCTCTGATACCAATTTGAGGAGAAAATGAGAGTGGACTTAAACTTTCTTTCTTTTATAAAATGTCCAACTTGATTTTAATATGAATACAAAGTGATTTATATATAGATCACAAGATAGAACATTAAATGTTATAGCATTAACTATTACTAGGTCCCTAAGGAATAAACTTCTCACTGCCCAAAGAGAATCTGTCTTTTGCACTACCCAATACAGATTTGAATTTAACTAACAACTATCAGACAAATATTAAAATTTCCATGGACAATTTCATAAAATAACTCACCTTAAAACAATGTTGAATCGAATGGAATATATCCCCGTGTCTTATTTCTGCAATGACTCTCAATCGACTGTTTCAATTGAAATTCAACATAGTGAGAACAATCTTATATCAAAGATTTTTCATAATCATTCTTTCACTCATTTCCATCAAGCTTCAAGTATGATCAACAATCACCTACAAGAATTCAAGCATCAACAATCATGGCAATTCAAGAAGTCCACAAGTGAAACAACAAACAAGAAGTAGAAGCAAGAAGCATAAGTAAAGCAAAAGAAGCGAAAAAGAAGCTGAGGCATTCTATCGAATACCTTACGAGCAATATCAAATTCTCACTTTTTCTTCATATCCACTGATAAGTTCTCATCCAATTTATTATTATAGTGTTATGTGCTTGTTGTGTATTTAAGTCGAACAAAAATTCTTACCAAAACAGCTCAGAATCAATTATTAGCATAACTCAAAATTGTGTCGAAGCTTACCGTAAAAATCAAACGTAAACGAAACCATTCCGAAAAGGAGTAAAACCAAGGTCCAAACTAATTTCGAAGCCAAATCAAACCTGAACCATGAAAACACGTTTGAAAAGTCATTCGCAATCAATTCCGAAAATAAGCACGTTTTGGGTGTTTTTCCTCTTTTCACGATAAGCCCTTTTCCACGTGTGAACATGCTGTGTTTCACGTTTTCGATTATGTTCATGATTCCATTTTTTACGGCTTGATCAAAATCTGTTCCGCTTGAGAAGAAAAAAGCACGTCCGAAATAAGCACTTTTCCATTTTTCAAGAAATCTATGCGCAGCAATTTTTTAATTAACACTTTTCCCTTTTTTTTTTATCGTTTGAACAAAAACTTAACAAATTTACACTCACTTAATTAAATAATTAACACTTATTAAAATTGATTGTGATTTAATTAATATTTTGAGTTATAATATTTAATATTTTCGTCCATATAAATCAACACCCGTTTTAAATTTAATGAGAATAATTGAATTTTGATTATAATAATATTTTTAATTTATACCTATTTTTAAAAAATAGGGTGTAAATTTCCACATGCTAATATATAAAATGATACTAAATTTATTAAAGTTTCATCGCGTTTCTTATTTACACCAGTTTTTAATATATTGAGTGTACATTGTAAAATTATATTGTTCTTTTTGCACTGGTGTTCTTATAGGAAATTAGTTACCTCAGAATGAGTAATCGGTTTTCCCATTTTTAGTAGCCACATTTGTTCATTTTTCGTTCAAGAATTCGATTACCTCCAGAAGGATAATCGATTTCTACAGTTTGACAATGAAAAATTCTACATTTTTTTTAGTATGAAAACCAGTCCCCTCATCTCTAAAAATCTAATTTTTCAATCAAAACAGTGCCTCATGAATTCATAAAATATACACATACATTGCCCATTATTCAAACTCAATTCAAATAATCAATTTCATCAATTAATCACAATTTATCAACAATTTCATCAAAAGATTCAAACACACACAAAAGCCTAAATCATGAGAAAAGAGACCTAACTATGGAAATTCTAATCACTACCATTGCCCATCATTATGCAACCCGTTATAGAGTTGGAATCGCACTCTTACCTTAGATCAACGATTCTCAATTTCTACAGCAAATTCCATTGCCCTAGCCTCGTGTGCACTCTTCTCATCTTCTCTCTTTTCGTTCTTCTTTTCACGTTTTATTTCTCATTCTATCTTCTCACTTCCTTGTTTTCCCAATATTAACCTCTACACCCTTAATTCTTAATCCCAATTTTACCCTCACCTAATTAAATAATAATTTACTTAATAATAACATAATTACTATTCTACTATTCTAATAATAATAATAAAATAAACACTAGTCATCTAACTGCACTCCTATATCTATATGCTTTCGGTCATACACCCCTAATGCATTAACTTCCATAATTTCTAAGGTAATTACCTCTCGTCAAAGTACACAACACATCTCGACATCCATCAAAACACACACAAAACACCACATTGCATAATCAATTAATTAAAAATAATTCAACATAATCCGGAGTGTTACAACAATGCTACTGGATGTTGAAGTCCTTGGTGACATCTTTTCAACTCTTTGATGATGGATATTAACTTTAAGATATCTCAAGTCTCACAAAGTAGAAGATTCAAGGTTATAATGAAGTGATTAAATGATTGGTATATTTCGCAAAGAAACTTGAAAGTTTTAGAGTTGTGAAAGATAAAAAGAGTGAAAGCCCGCTAGATTGTGTCTGTTTGAGTGATCAGAGTTTTGTGAAAGTAGGGGAGTAACCCTTAAGATACTAAGATAACTCTCTCTCACACACACATAAAATACTTCTATGGGCTATCTTTACTTAACAAAATCACCTAAAAATATTTTTAAGGCCTAACCAGTTGATTTTGAGACTGTCTATTTGATTAAGATACTTTTCCTATCTGACTGATCGATTATATCATTTTCCTAGTCGATTAGATGATGTTTAATTGATTATATAATCAATTATGATAGTCTTTTAATGATTCGTAACAACTCTATATCAAAAACTTCTACCATTTTGAGTCTCAATAATCGAATATTTGAGGCACCTAATAGATTTGCCAAATCAATTCGGACATTAATTTGACCCATGAATTGTTTTCATTTTGAGCCAAAATTTTCCTATATAAAGGATGCCTTTTCTCACTTCATTTCACTCCATAATTCAGAGTTTTCTTAATTCTTTACAATTTATCATTCTCTTCTCCCTCTTTAGATATTTTCTTTCACCAAAGTTGCTTTAGTGTCTTGTGACTGAAAACTACTTGTGAGAAAAAGTGGTATTGGTGTTGCATAATTGTTTTACTTTCAAGAATTGAGTTTGGTTCTTGAGATCAACCATTGAAAAATTTATGTTTGGTTATAAAACTCAACCTACAAAAGTTTTGTTCGATTATTGAGATTAGCTGGTGAAATCTCTACTCATTTCGCGAGTTCATCTCATTAAAAAAACCCTTTTAATTGGGGGATAAGTCAGTGTAAAATCTACTGATTCACTTATATCAAGGGTTCATGGGTATAATTTATAAAAACTCAATATTATAGTGAAATCTCAAGAAAATCTCTTGGAGACATGACTGGGCAAACATTCAGAACTTGGATAATTATCTAGTGTCATCTCTCTAACCCTTATCTCTTTAAAATTTGTTATTTACCTTACTGCTTTATTTTCTTTCCGCTGCTTTTCTTTCTGATCTTGTGGGTACTAACACAATTTTCTTTTTAAATAATAAAACCTTTAAATTAATCATAAATTTTGAATATCACAATTCACTCCTCTTATGCTTTAAGTCATTTGTCTAACAAATGATATCAAAATCTAATTTCGATTAAAGACTAATTGTTATAGAAGAAAAATGTCTTCAAGCTATTCAATAATCCTAATTTTAATATTTTATTTGACTATTATATTTTTATAATGCAAAACCACTAATCATAGTTTCATGCATTTTAAAATCACATTGTTACTTGATAATATAAATAATATTCATTTTCTTTATATATGACCTTTCAATCAATTAATACGATCCTGAAGAGCGGCTTTTGCTAAAACTCTAATAGTTTCTTGAAAACTCGCTTCAGATATGAAATTTTGAGTATTCAGAAATGTTTTTGTTATTTCCAATAATAAAGCTCGGTAACAAATGAGTTCTTCTAAGGCACACCCTATTCGTTCTGCTCGCAATAATCTAATTAATTCGTCAAGTAAAAATACATTAAACATTCCATCTTCTAAAACTAAGACTTTAGATGTTATTTGACGCAGAATAATCTCGATATGTCTATTATGGATCCTCTAAATGTTATATGTTAATTTGTACCGTTTTTTAAATAAACATTTGCACATGTTATTATACTCATTTTGTCTTCAAAGATCAAGCTCAAATTAAAAGATTTTTAATTTTATTTTGGTGCATGGCTTGGATGCTTTAATTACTTCTATTAAAATTATGTAATAAAATCAATATAATAAATATACTCCAAAGACAACAATTAATTGCAAGCTTAAGCTAAAGTAAAGGAGCAAATAGTATAAAGGGTATATATATGTTTTGTTGAGAGTCTTCCACCAAAAATATAGGATCACAAACATGAACCAGAAGACCCTTGATTAGAATATTTTGTCAGAACTTAGAATCACATATCAATAACTTTTCAAATTTATTGATTTTTGATTTGATAAACACAAGAAGCACAACATGGATGCCACTCATACCATGTTTTGTAACAATGATATTGTTAACCCTCTAAGCTCCATGGGAATGCAAGTTTCATGCATTCTTGTTGTATCACATTTCTTCAATGTCCTCCTTAGAAGTTTGGGTCAACCTGGTCCCATTGCACAAATTCTGGTAATCAATCATCAACCTTTTATTTCATATGCATCCACATTATAAATCATAATATCACACACACATACATAGATACCAGACACAACACTGATGGTAACAATAATTTGAAAAAATGAATAAAAACATGATTACAAAAATTGGTGTTGTGTCGGCATCATGTCTGCTACAGACACAGACACAGAGACAACTTTGTATAGATGCTATAGAGATTTTAACTAATTGTACACTCTATTGTTCAACAGGCTGGGTTGATATTAGGACCAATGTCACATATACCATATATAAAAAATACATTCTTCCCACCAAGTTCAATAAACTACTATGAAATTGTTGGCTTCTTCTGTCGCATACACTTCATGTTCTTATTCGGTTTAGAGACAAACCTTCAATACACATTGCGCAATCTACGTTTGGTTACATTGGTAGCATGTGGTGGTGCCCTAGTTGGTGCAGTTTTCGGTCTATCAGTCTCATTTTATTTATACCAAAACCTAAATCTAAATCTCGACATTTACTATTTCTGCATGGTCATCATGCTAATGGTATCATACACGAGCTCCCCGATGGTGATCCGTTTATCGGCCGAGTTACGTTTTGCAGCGTCTAATATCGGGCGAATAGCAGTGTCCTCCGCATTGATAACCGAAATGGGCTGCTTGATATTCTTTGACGTAGTGGTTTGTTGGAAAAAACCTAACCACATTTCCAATGGTTTTCTATGTACTATCACTGTATCTTTTGTGATTCTGATTAACAAATACTTAGCCGTATGGTTAAACTCGAGAAACCGTTACCAAAAACACCTAAAAGCAGCTGAGTTATTACTCATACTTTTTGTTCTTCTAACAAGCTCAATGGTTATAGAAATCTTGGGTTACAATAGTATTATTAGTTGTTTTATTATTGGATTGTTGTTTCCTAAAGAAGGTAAAACAGCTAGGACTTTGATATATAAACTTGGTTATTCAATTTATAATTTTGTTCTTCCTATTTATTTTGGGTATATGGGTTTACAATGTGACCTCATACAAGTGTTTAGAAGCTTGAATAAAACAACAGATACTGCAATATTGATTTTGTTGTGCATTGGAAGCAAACTTGGTGGCACACTTTTGGTTTGTAGATACCTTCATATTCCTACAAGTGAAGGAATTTTCATTGGCTTCATATTGAATACTAGAGGTTATGCTGATTTGTTGTTCATTGCTGCTGTAGCAAAACATGCCGTCGTGAGTATATTTCTTGCCTTTCATTTAATGTACTAACTCCTTGCTACAAATCACAGACACGGACATAAACACCAGACACAAACAGGTTTTTTAATGCTTATTGCTATAAATTACGGACACCAGACACAAATATAGACACATACAAGTTTTTTAATGCTTATTACTATAAAGCACAAACATTGATACAGAGAAATCTTTTTTCATAGGTGTTGATGCTACATATACTCATTGTCTAATTTAATGCTCATTGCTATGAAACACGAACCACATACACAGACACTTGATACCGTCTTTTTTTTAGAGGTGTTAATGCTAAAGAGACTTGTTGTCTAATTTAATGTTTATTTACATTTATAGGATCTCGACCTAGAGGCTTACAATATGTTGATAGTATCGATAATATTGAACACAGTTATATCAGGAATAGTTGTGGCGTTTCTAGCAAAAGGGGAAGCGAAAATGTTTTCGAACAACCATACTACAGTTGAGCCTCAACAAATGGAAGACGAGCTTCGAATTTTGGCTTGTGTATATGATCCTCGACAAGTATCCGCGGTACTCGCCACAATACTAGCCATGCATGGATCAAGAACATCGCCTTCCACGACTTATTTAATGCATTTGATAGAACTCGTGAAGAAAATCAAGTCGAATTTGTTGTACCATGAAAAGGAAAACGGAAGCCTCAGCGATGACGAAGAAGCCTATGGTGGAAATGATGTGGTGGACATTAATAATGCCTTAGATGCATTCACTTTAGACACAAAGATTTTGATTCACCAAAAAAAGACGGTATCTTGTTTCCCAAGTATGTATGAAGATGTTTGCAACGAAGCGGAAGATCTTAAAGTGACAATAATTTTAATTCCTTTTCACAAACACGAGCGCATTGATGGAAAACTCGAAAGTGGCAAAGAAAGTATAGTAGTTACTAATCAGAAGATTCTCAGACACGCGCCTTGTTCGGTTGGAGTAATCATTGAAAGAGGACTTACTAAGACATTTGGTTTCTCGGAACTAATTGAGTCCGAAGCCACACAAAATGTTGCAACACTTTTCTTCGGGGGACCAGATGACCGCGAGGCGATTGCTTGGAGCCTAAGAATCTCCAAATGCCCTCATATTAACTTGACGATTATTAGATTTTTGCCGGCTTCATCACAAAATGAACAAATTAATGAAAACGGAGTACAATCCGATGGAAAGGAGATTCTAATGTCATTGTCGGGGGAAGAGAGTGAGAACGACGAGATTGACAATACGTTTATGGTTGATTTCTATAATCGGCATGTGACATTAGGCCAAATTGGATACGTGGAAAATTTTGTGAAGGATGGAAAGCAAACATTGGAATGTTTGAAAGATGTTGGAGACATGTACTCTTTGTTTGTGGTTGGAAAAGGTGGTAGGAGAAATAATTCATTAACAATAGGTATGAGTGATTGGGAGGAGTGTCCTGAACTTGGAACAGTTGGTGATGTGTTGGCTTCTTCAGATTTTGATATTCATGGATCTGTTTTGGTTATTCAACAACATAGAGATGCTAAGAAAGGTTTAATACATTATTAGCTATAGATATTCAAGTACAATAACATTAGATTTCTTCATGTACTTAGACTTATGAACATAGTTTGCACATATGATTTTGTTTAAGGTAATATAGATTACATTGTTGATGAAAATGGATATCATTTTGTTGATGAGACTATCTATCATGATTCGTGTGTTGGTGATTGGGAGCTAGTGATAGTAAAAAACCATCCATTGAAATGGAATTTTAGTAAAAGAAAAAAGCATATTCATTCTACATTAACTGTGCTAAATTTGCTAGGTTTGGAGTTTCGATTAAAAAAAAGACCATCGGCCACACATGACCTACTTCGTTGTTTGAAGTTAAGATTGTGAAGATAGCCTACATATTCAAAGAAATTATGATGGAAAATATTTATTGTTGCACTTCCATTAAAGATCACAAACATGTTTCTAACAAATTGTTTTGCGTATTTGACTTGAGTACTCTAGTTTTATAGAGAAACATATGATTTTTGTGACCTTGATTATAATGCATGAGTCTACTATTTATACCAATCTAAAGATAATCGTCTTTGATAGTTTATTCCCATAAAATAGACACGTATAAAAAACAATGCAATTCAATCTTTTGAAGTGCTTTCACGTAGTCAGTCCTTGTATCTTGTGAAAAACCACTATCACATGTTTTTAACTGCTCCAAGCAAATAACCGCTTTCAAGAATATTTGATACAACACTCGTCAAAACATCCATTCACTTAATTGATTCTTAGACTTAGAAAATACACTAAGTCCTAGACAATTAGTGATTTCGTCGAATCCCACCATTTTTTCGAAACCTTTTTGAAATATTAGACATGTTTTGAAGAGAGAGTGATCATAATATTGTAGACATGATCTTGTGATTCTTCCAAATCATTTCTCATCACGCTAGTCGAAACCAATTTCGCTGACGTGGTTGTTTCTGTCGAAGCTTGTCAATAAATGCTTTTTAACACTTAACATTTTCTCCACGTAGCTTGCTCTGGCTTTCTCTTAGCTGGAATTTCTAGGCTAACAGATGCCCCCAAAAATACCTTTTTCGATCATGTGTGTCAGATAGAAGAAAGGTGGAGTTTTTTGTAACTCGACATTGCTTAAACTAGCATGTACATGTCACATCAAGTAGACGTTTTCAGGCATCATGACAACTTTACCAAGTTGCCACGTCATAGACGTGCGTACGGTTGATCATCATGATCTCCAATTTCCTAGGAAATTAAAGAGCCACTAACTTAAATGAAATTAAAAAGAAAATCATTTAATTTCATTTTCTTTCATCTTTTCCAGTAACTCTTAATGTCAACTGTCGATCTGAACGTGCCACCTGTCCAAATTTCTAGAGGGAAAATTGAAACTTTTTCTTCTCCTTTTGGCTATTTAAACGCTTTTTCCTCAACTGTCTTCTCTTTCACCATTTCCTTCACTGAAATAACCTTGGAGAGTTTTTGGTCTTCTGTTTTCTTTTCTCAACACATTTACTTCCCAAAAAACTGTTGAGAATCAACAATGGCTCCTAAAGGTGCACTCAAAACTGCTCCACACGCTCCTTTAGCCTTTTACAAGAACCTTTTCTTGTGGATGGTCGCACCTATGTCTCGGAACCTCCCCTGGAAGATAAAAAGAGAAAAGTTTGGTATTCTGATGCATTAGTTCCTTACTCCATATTAAGTACCAATTTCGCTTTCATATGTCTCATTCCTAGGCATGTTAAGAAACCCTATGTTCTGAAACATTTATTCCCCATCTACCTTTCATGTGAACCCTTGGTCTTCCATGATAAACCTTTTTACTTTATATTCTTGAATAATAGTATTTTTAGGCCATCTCCTCCTGATGATAGTGACCCTGAATATATCAAGTGGCTAAACAGGGTTCAACAAAAGAAGAAATACATATGGAAAGACCAATGTATCTTTGACCTGATACAACCCCCACATGATCCTTGCTAACATGTGCTTATGGGAAACTGCCACCAACACTTTTTACCTACCTCGTGGGATGGTAACCTCTACACTCTTCGACATCGCTGCTATTGTTGGTCTTTGACCAACTAGAGAACCTTTTGAACCTTCAACAATTACCAAGACCAATCCTGAATTCGTCTATGACAAAACTGCCTACAACATATTCATCGAAGATCATTGTGCTTCAACAGAGGTTTTAGGAGATCATGAACACATAGATTTCCTCAGTTACGGGATCCCTCGCTATGTTTTCTACTCCCGCTCCATCCAAGTGACCAAATAATTTATACCTCTGACCAACCAACTTCATGAGAGGAGGAGTATTTGCCTTAGCAAGCTGATCTTATATGGCCTCTATGAATCTTAGGGGTTAGCATCACAAGACCTCAAACAATAAAAAAACACTGAAAGTCTCCAGGTGGAAGGCCCCATCTAGCTTCTGCAATTGTGAATCAATTTCACTTTTGAACCTTCTTTGAAAACTAGGATCCCACCTAATCCAATGGTGGGTGTCAAAGGTTTGAGGCTTGCCTAGCTCAGTCTAGATGATGACAAAGCCGCATCTAAGAAGGTTTTGATACTTACTTTGATATGTTTTAATGGTGTAAAACATTTGTTTCGACTATGAAACCATTTTCCAGTAGACGGTGTGAACCTTCTTGATTCACGATACCGTTTCCACATCCTTAACGCAATGAAGATAGGGAAATTCATGATATGTTGCTGGAATGCTTCCAACCTATTGTCCCGTGGAAAAAACTTAGCTCTGCTAAGAATGGGATAAAGGAAGCTGCCTACCAGCCAAACTTAGTGGCTAGGCAATTTGGCTTAATCCAATTACTACCTAAGTCCTTAATCCTCAAGGCATATGATGTCTTTTATTCCATCGATGAACCAAGTGAGAAATGGCTTGCGATATGTAAATATTACTTCAAGAAGAAGAAGGTGTTCCTTCATTCCCTCACCTTCTTTATCTATTTCCACTGCACTCAAGAGTTTGAGGACTTGTTGTCTCTTTATTACCAAGGCGTGCAAGATCCTCACCTCATGGTCCAACGCTTGATAGGCGCTTTCTCCTTTCTGCGAGACATGGAAAATAAAAATAAAAGTAAATCACATTGACTATTTTTTTTAAGATGTGGAAAATTCTTAGGATAAACTTGCTTTAGTTCCTCATTGGTATCTAAATCATTTATGTCGGCCTATTACAGGCGTTTCCCAAAATCCAAAATCTTCGACACACAATCCTCAAGAAACGAGAAATACACGAGGGAGGTGTGAACCGACCAAAGTAACTTTACAAGTAAATTTTCCAACCTTATTTTCCTTCAAGTTACTAGTTCTCTATCAAACTTCCTAGCTCTCCATTTTTCCATTTCAGGGTTGAAAGAAAGGAAGTACTTCCTCTACTGCAGGGCCTTCAAGAAAGAAGAGCAAAAAAAGTAAGTACACTGAAGCTCCAACTAATGAAGAAACTCTGGTGCGTATTGTCTTTGTCTCTTATTCTTTTTTTAATTCATCTTTCATCTTATTGGAGTTTGTCGAACGTGCTAGTATCCATAGAAACAAGTAGAGTTTAAAATTAATGAAAAAAGTATGCATTTCCCTCCACCCATCCCTTCAAAATATTTGACGGACACGACTATCAAATTTGTTGATGCCAATTTTGCTGATCAAAGGGAAGGTGAAGCCCATGCTGAATCTTCTAGCATTCTACGGAAGAATAAAAAGAAGAAGAGGGTTAAACATGAAAACCTTTTGGTTTTTTATGAAGAAGAGACTACATAATATGAGACGTCTAAACTAAGGGAAAATAAATAAGGATGAACATCCTCTTGTAAACCTGCTCACAGCCCAGGAAGTGCACACTGTCCACACCCAGATGTTAACCAGGTAACTTACCACTTTCTTTTACTTTTTCTTGACTCAACCTATCTGCTAACTCTGATACTTATCCACCCATTTTTTATTTGGAAAGCCTGTCAACATTGGCCTTACAACCTCCCAAGCACAACCAAATAACTCTTGCTCGCATGCTGACTTCTCCACTATCAAGTACACAACGCTTGCGACAACCAGTCCAACATCTGTTCATCGACATGCTATTGTTGAAGATGTTGGGACGATTATGAATCAAATAGAAAAGACAACTAGAGGGAACTTGGACCCTATCGCAGAGACTGTTGAGGCTCGGGCAGACAAATCCATGCCTAAAAAGTAATCTCATTCAAGCCTGAAATAACTTCTCCTAAAACTAAAGAGCTTGATGCTTCAACACTAAACACTCATGGTTGCACTGGTCATGCACAAGAGCAACCAGAGGGTGCTTCAGTCGAGAATATTCCAGAAACTATTTGTAAGAACAAGATTGGTTCTACATATGGCCTTAAGTTTTGAGGATAACTTTACATGTTATTGTTGTACCCCAATTTCCCCCTTAAGATTCCTCTATCATATAATATCAACTCGATCATAACAAGATCACATTAGGGTTGATTCTTCCTCTTTTTATATCACTCATCTTTAAGTTTGCTTTTGAGGAATCTCCAAGCACCTTAGTTGCGTATTTTGTATATGTGTTGTTGACTAACTTCTAATCAAAATACAAAAAAAATATTTGTCTTTGAATATTTGTGTTTTGTAGGTACCGAGTCAAAGCATCTGACAAATAAGGTTTTCCGGTATTATTTCCCTAAAATCTCTATTTACAAAAGAATTTTTTTTTAAAATTTTTCATTTTTATTTCATTGTACAATTGATTTCTCCTAGAGTGCAATCGATTGCACAAAGTGCATTTTGTGCAATTTTTAAAAAAATACACTGTGCAAATCGATTTGCAATATAGTGCAATTGATTTGCACAAAGTGAAAATTTGAAAAATTAGCAATTTTAAGCTTTTCGAATTTTGGCTCCAATTTTTCTTCATTTTTTTGAAAGATATATTATTAATTCAAATTTTGGTGCCAATCTTGCATTTTTAAAATATTCCTTAATTCAAATTTTGACTCTAATTTTTGAAAGAATTATCATTA